TTGTAATTGCTTCTTTCAAACACTCATCCAGTTTTAATGTGGCATTGACTACTCCTCACAAAAAGGGCAAGAACCTAGTGGTTCTCACCTCTCCATGACTCCATATCTTCATTTTATTGGTTTGTATAGCCCATTTTAACTTCAATTTATTGTTGTGTTTTCAACAGTTATGTTTATTTGATTTCAAATGATATTTTGTTAATTATTTTAAATTGTAATTATTGTAAGTTGTTATTTATGTAATTTGGTGTTGCTCATTGATGTGGCCGAATTTGTATGTATTTTATATGTTCTGTATTGCACTTTTGTTGCCATGTAAGCTGACTCAAGTCATAGAATCATAGAATCAAAGAGTTGGAAGAGACCTCATGGGCCATCCAGTCCAACCCCTGCCAAGAAGCAGGAATATTGCATTCAAATCACCCCTGACAGATGGCCATCCAGCCTCTGTTTAAAAGCTTCCAAAGAAGGAGCCTCCACCACACTCCGAGGCAGAGAGTTCCACTGCTGAACGGCTCTCACAGTCAGGAAGTTCTTCCTCGTGTTCAGATGGAATCTCCTCTCTTGTAGTTTGAAGCCATTGTTCCGCGTCCTAGTCTCCAAGGAAGCAGAAAACAAGCTTGCTCCCTCCTCCCTGTGGCTTCCTCTCACGTATTTATACATGGCTATCATATCTCCTCTCAGCCTTCTCTTCTTCAGGCTAAACATACCCAGCTTCTTAAGCCGCTCCTCATAGGGTTTGTTCTCCAGACCCTTGACCATTTTAGTCGCCCTCCTCTGGACACATTCCAGCTTGTCAATATCTCTCTTGAATTGTGGTGCCCAGAATTGGACACAATATTCCAGGTGTGGTCTAACCAAAGCGGAATAGAGGGGTAGCATTACTTCCCTAGATCTAGACACTATGCTCCTATTGATGCAGGCCAAAATCCCATTGGCTTTTTTTGCCACCACCACCATCTCCCAAGAAATCCCTTCTTGGGAGATGGTGGTGGGTTGTTGTTGTCATCATCATCATCATCATCATGGGAGCCCCCTGTGGCACAGTGGGTTAAACCCTTGTGCCAGTAGGAATGAAGACCGACAGGTCGCAGGTTCGAATCCGGTGAGAGCGCGGATAAACTCCCACTATCAGCTCCAGCTCCTCATGCGGGGACATGAGAGAAGCTTGCCACAAGGATGATAAAACACCAAAACATCCGGGCGTCCCCTGGGCAATGTCCTTGCAGACAACCAATTCTCTCACACCAGAAGCAACTTGCAGTTTCTCAAGTAATTTCTGACACGACAAAAAAAATCATCATCATTATTTGTGTTGTTATTATTATTAAAAGCTATCCATTGTTACTGGGCAAACAAGGGACATAGAACAATTACAGTTGTAATTGCAGTCATAAAGTTTCAAGTCATAATAGGGCAGGCTTAACATGGATGCTGAATTCCCTCAGATCTACAAGTAGAGGGGGTGCCAACTTCAATGTTGAGACCACAGCTAGCTCAGGAAGGAAGCCTACTGAGCAGTGGAGTTGTTATTGTTCATTCATTCAGTCGTTTCTGACTCTTCGTGACCAGCCCAGGCCAAAGCTCCCTGTTGGCTGTCACCACCCCCAGTCCCTTCAAGGTCAATCCAGTCACTTCAAGGATACCATCCATCCATCTTGCCCTTGGTCGGCCCCTCTTCCTTTTTCCTTCCATTTTCCCCAGCATAATTGTCTTCTCTAAACTTTCCTTTCTTTTCATGATGTGGCCAAAGTACTTCATCTTGGCCTCTACTATCCTTCTCTCCAATGAGCAGTTGGGCTTTATTTCCTGAAGTATGGACTGGTTGGATCTTCTGGCAGTCCAAGGCACTCTCAGAACTTTCCTCCAACACCACAGTTCAAAAGCATCTATCATGGTCCCAATGCAAACCCCAATCTGTCTCAATCATCCAGCTTGAGATCCAGAAAACTGTGGGATGAGATTCCTGGCCAGGGGAGTGGAATCCCAGTAGACCACAGCACCTTCATTTCAGTATTCATCAGACCTCACCTGCTGATCCACTTAGCCAAAGCTAAGTGAGATCCCCCATCACCACAGCCTCACCCATTTGGGTCTCTGTGAAACACACCAGCTAAGAATCTTAATCCAGAATCAAGTTCTAGTTTTAGACCAGCATTTTCTAAAGTTGCCTGTTCTGTTCTCAAAGAGCTCTTCATAACATTTCTCTTTTTCTGATCTCTAAGACCTTTTCAGGTTATGGGCTATATATTATGCAAGATGCTGATAGTGCTTTCTCTATATAATTCAGTCTAGCTATCCTCTAAATACTATTCTATAAATTTCAATAAAGAATAACCTTAAAAAATGTCATTAAACCAATACCACTTTTGCGATAGTCTATACAGCAGAGTTCAAGGGTCTAGAGAGTTTCCCTGCCTTTAATTCTGGAAACTTGGATTTTCATCAGCTATTGGAAGCCATTTATAGCCTTGTAAACTTAGAGGAAGTTATATTAGAGCTATTATATCAATTGCCACATAAAAGTATTTTTTCTTCCCCTTTTCACAGGCTTTTGCTCAAAGTGTTCTCAATTGGAGCTTCTCAAGCAAAAAGAAAAAGAAAAGAAAGAATGTATAATTGTTGGGTGGAGAAGACATCTGTTTATTCTTAAATACATAGGAAGAAATGGTGTATCTCTTGGTCATGGAATAACAGCATTGGTATCAGTTTGCAAAGAGCCAGCATTGTATAGTTGTCTGAGCACTGCACTATGTCTTTCAAGAACAGGGCTTAAATCCCCACTAAACCATAGAAATCAACTGGGTGACCTTAAGTAATCTGCATTTTCTCATTCTAAGATAAGCAAATGTAAGCTGCCTCTGAACAAATTTTGCTAAGTAACCCCATGATAGGTTCACCTTAGGGTTCACATATGGCACACAATAACAGCAACAAATTTCTTCATTTGTTTTATTAATCAATTTTACATTTCAGGCCTCTTTTACATTGCCATGTGATCCAATTTCTGATCCCAGATTATCTACTTGAACTGGATTATATGACAGTGTAGACTGATATAATCCAATTCAAAGAAGATGATCTGGGATCAGACACTGGATTATGCGGAGGTGTCAATCCAGCCTGAGTAACATCACTTGCCCCTTAACCCCTGAAATAACGAGACAGACAACAAAGGTATGGATTCAAATTGGGCAACATTTATTGAATGTTACCTATTTAACTTTACCTGAACTAAACTAAGTGTCAAGGAACTTGGTGGCAAGCTGAGGCAGCGTCCCCAGCTACTTAGAGTGTGATGTCAGTGTGCCCTGGATCCCCAACCAGGCAACCTGAAGGTAAAAGTCTAGAGAAGCCTGTGTCCGATTATTGATATCAGCTTCTCTCTTTACTGGGCCAATGGATGTCCCCTCACCCATTTGTTGACTTCTAGGTGAGTGTTTGTTGTACAGTGCCCCCCACCCTTAATGGGTGCCATGTGTATACCTCCATGTCAGTGTTTTCCTGAACTATTTACGCCACAGATTGGGGGCAAATGTCCATTTCGCCCCCATCCCCCACCAAGCCCCTAACAACTTCCTGGAAGCCTAACTGCAAATCAGCTAAAAAGTGTGGTTACCCAAATCCGTTAAATGCACACCAACAGAACGATAAAACTTTGTTTTGTCATATGTGATGTCCTTATGTTGGATGTAAGACCCCCTGCCCCATGCTAAAGCTGTGCGCATGGCCCGGTTCACACGCTTTCCGGCCTTCTCGAGCTTCCTGACATCACCGCCTCCTGGCCACCGAAGGCGTGGAATGATGGCCGACCAAGCGATGTGAACCCGGGGCCATGCCAGCCAAAAATAAAATGCCAGCACGGGCTTGAAGATACCGGGCCCTGCTGTTAAGCAGGCCCAGAACGTTACCTCCGACATGGAGCACCGGCCCACCGAAGGCCACGAACACCCTTCCACTCGCCAATGCAGTGGAAGCGCAATCCGGCCCAGCGAAGGCCACGAACACCCTTCCACTCGCCAATGCAGTGGAAGCGCACCCAGATGCTGGCCAAAGGATGAGTTCCTGGCGTATCTCTCCGCCCAGTGGACATAATTATGCCCACAACAAGGATTCTCCATCTATGCACCAGCCTGGCAGTTCCTGCAAATAAACAACAAACAAACAAGCACAGGGCGAACCTATCGCCGGTAATCGACCTATTTCCCCCCGCCCAGTAATTTAACGGCCATAACCCTATAACCCTAGCAAACTGCCAAAGATGCCGCCCCTGTATGAAAGGAATGAGTGCCAAATTACCCAATTCAACCGTTCCTTCTGGTGTAGTGTGATAGACCGAGGACCCAAAACAGAAATATGAAAACCCTCTAAAACCTTCCCTAGGTACTTAACTGCCCCCTTATCGGAGTACCGATCCACCCAAACTCTCAACTGATTTAACNCATTTGTACCAGAAGAGTTTAAGCCTGTTAAATAAATGTTTTATTATAGTTAATACATTACAACAGCCTGTGTGAATGTCATTAGTATTTAAACCCTCTGAGGAAAATAAACACCATAGTAACACAGAAGGGTGTTACCAAGTATCCTCTCAACACATATAACTCAGCCTGAATACTAAGCGATAAGGTGGCAGCGTACCCCAAATGAAGAAACAGTTCAGATTTAATTCAAATTTATATTCAGTTTTCCCTTCCTGTGATATTCCTTATAATTTGGTGAAGCAGTGTTGGGATTATTCTTATATCTTTCCCTGTCTGACAAATTCAAATTATTTAAAATTTTCTCTACTCCTCGGCCTTCCCTTCCTCATAATCCTTATACACCCTCACCATCCCGCTATAGATGATACTATGGTTTATTATCCAACAACATCCAGAAGGATGTTCTCTCCACCATAAGAAGATTCTTACATCTTCTTTCTCTCTCATATAACATTTGTGTAGTTGATTGATTTCATTCTTCCTTTTTCTCATTTTTTTTGGCTTTCTTCATTCAAGGTGGTGATGGACAAGGGAGTGAAAATGGGGGAGTTCCAAATAAAAGGTGTCTGAAGACAGTGAGAAGTAAAAAGGAAGAAGAAAGAAGCCCAAGAATAGAAGCAGAAGGATATAACAGGAACCAGTGCTCTGCTGACATCAGGATAATCACAATCGGAGAGACAATAGATGAAAGCTTAGAGGTTGGAAACAGCCCTGTCTATGAGAATGGCTTCTTCCAAGAGGCGTTTAGTATACACCCTGCACACAATGAAAAATACCAAATTGTGAGCAAGCCATATAAATGCCTGGAGTGTGGAAAGCGTTTTCATCAAAAAGGAAGCCTCCGTAGACACCAAAACACTCACATAGAAGAGAAGCCATATAAATGCCTGGAGTGTGGAAAATGCTATACCCAAAAAGATAGCCTAAGTAGACACCAAAACACCCACACGGGAGAGAAGCCATATAAATGCCTGGAGTGTGGAAAATGTTTCATTCAGAAAGGAAACCTCAAGACACATGAAAGAACCCACACAGGAGAGAAGCCATATAAATGCCTGGAGTGTGGGAAAGGTTTTGTTTCAAATAGCAGTCTCATTAGGCATGAAATGAATCACAGAGGAGAGAAACCCTTTAAATGCCTAGAGTGTGGAAAAGGTTATTCTGATAAGAGAAGTCTTATTGGACATGAAATTGAACACAGAGGAGAGAAACCCTATCAATGTCTGGAGTGCGGGAAGAGTTTCTCTTTGAGAGATAGCCTAAGGCTGCACCAAAAAACCCACAGAGAAGAGAAACCCTATAAATGCCTGGAGTGTGGAAAAGGTTTCTTTCAGAAAGCAAACCTCAAAAGACACAAAAGAACTCACACAAATGAGAAGCTATATAAATGCCAGGTGTGTGGAAAAGGTTTTTCTTATAAGAGAATTCTTATAGGACATGAAATGAATCACAGAGGAGAGGAACCCTATAAATGCCTGGAGTGTGGGAAGAGTTTCTGTTGGGAAACTGCCCTAAAGCAACACCAAAACACCCACACAGGAGAGAAGCCATATCAATGCACAAAGTGTGGAAAATGTTTCCTTCAAAAAGGAAACCTCAAGAGACATGAAAGAATCCACACACAAGAGAAGCCATATCAATGCCTGGAGTGTGGGAAAGGTTATTCTGATAAGAGAGGCCTTATGGGACATGTAATGAATCACAGAGGAGAGAAACCCTATAAATGTCTGGAGTGTGGAAAAGGTTATTCTGATAAGAGAAATCTTATTGGACATGTAATGAGTCACAGAGGAGAGAAACCCTATCAATGCCTGGAGTGCGGGAAGAGTTATATACTTAAATCCACTCTTACAGCTCACCAGAACAGCCTTAAAGGAAAGTGTGGGAAGGGTTTTGGCTACAAATCAGACCTCACAAATGTCCAAGATAGTCCTATAGAAGTCAAAATCGAAGACATATCTGTAGTGAAGGTAGAGCTTCCATAGGAGAGTCTCAAGGCCCACCAAAAAAACTCACATGGGAGAGACAGCAAAAAGCATGGAATCTGATAATACTTTGAACTGCACATCAATACTCAAAGATGTTGGAATGTTCATACAAAGAAATTCTACACCTTCCTGCGTTTTGGAAAGAATTGAGTTGCACAACAAGCTTCACAATGTACTACGACGGTTGAATGAAAAGTAATGCCTCCACCTTCGTAACTCCTCAACAGATGGCAGTACTGGTATGCAGCAGGTACCGGCTTGTTCAGTAGACTCTCCTCTACAGTTCCATTTTAGCGGGAAGCCTTAGCATTAAACGGTTGTGTAGTTAAAGTGCAAAGTATGGAACCCTGCACAGACGGTCAGTCAATGCAATTTAAGCAACGTGCAGTCATTGAATTCTTGACTGCAGAAGGTGTCACCCCAAAGGAAATTCATCAGAGAATGCAAGATGTTTATGGTGTGTTGATGTGAGTACTGTGTGTCGTTGGGCGAGTAAGTTTAAAGATGTTGAGGTGGGAACATCTGACTTGCTTGACAAACAAAGAGTTGGACATCCTGTGACAGCAACCACTGAATTTCACAAGCAAAAGGTTGACAGATTGATTCAGGATGATTGTCGTATCACTCAGAGAGAACTTTCAAGCATAATGTGCATTTCACAAGAACATGTGGGTCATATTATTGCTTTGCTTGGCTGTTGGAAGATCTGTGCACGATGGTTTGCGGAAACAGAGTGTTGACTTCTTCCGTGATGGCTTCAGAAAAATTGCAGAAATATATCCAATTGTCTTGTGATTACTACGAGGGTTGAATGAAAAGTAATGCCTCCACTTTGTAACTCCTCAACAGATGACAGTACTGGTATGCAGCAGGTACTGGCTTGTTCAGTAGATTCCTCTACAGTTCCATTTTGGCAGGAAGCCTTAGCATTGAACAGTTGTGTTGTTAAAGTGCAAAGTACTGAGCAGATGGTCGATCAATGCAACTTAAGCAACATGCAGTCATTGAATTCTTGATAGCAGAAGGTGTCGCTCCAAAGGAGATTAATCAGAGAATGTAAGCTGTTTATGGTGATTGTGTTTATGTGTTGACATCATGATACTTCTGATGAATATGTTGAGAGAACGATGAGACGCTGGTTGCGGAAACAGTGTCGAATTCTTCTGTGACAGCTTCAGAAAACTTGTTCATTGTTGGCAGAAATGTATCCAATTGTCTGGTGATTATATGGAAATGTGAATAGTGGTACTTAAAGAGCACATTTTAAGGATTATTTCTGCGTTTGATTTATTAAAATATTCCTAACCAAACCCAAGTAATGAAGGTGGAGGCATTACTTTTCATTCAATCCTCATTTTAAAAAACCCATACGGGAAATAAGCCATGGAAATGCCTGGAGTGTGGTAAAGCCTTCACTCAGGAGAAAAATCCCCTTGAGCATGAAATGAATCTCATAGGAGAGAAGTTTCTAAATGCTCCGAGGGTGGGAAGAGTTATGTCCTCGAATCAGGTCTCAAAACTCTCCAGGAGAGAAAGCATACACACGCCAAGAGCGTGGGAAGAGCTCAGTCCTCAGACACCAGAATACTTACACAATGAAGGATACACATATGAACAAAAAACTGCTCTAGCCTTTGTATTGATTCTCTCTTGTCTAGATTGACAGTTGATTCAAGTCATCTTGGACCTTTTCTTGGCACAATTTAAGGGAGAACCTGGCATATTCAGCCCTGGCCTGGTGGCCCTTCTGCTCCTTCAACAGTTGATGGGATGTGGTATCCACACTAGTTTCCTCCTTTTCAACTCTTTTGTGCTTGTTTTAGGAAGTTCACTGAAATGTTCTCAATTTTTTGTATTCTTTTGCAAATGCTCAGAGAGAAATAAAGGTATCTTATGGCCTTGTGGTGTGATGGTTTGAGCCTTGGATTGTCCGTCTGTAAGACAGAGCTTGCACTCAGCCTTGGAAACCTACTGGTGTGTCTGGAGCAAGTGACATTCTCTCAGCCTCAGAGAAAGAAGGCAAAAGTGAAGTCCCTCAGGACCAAAATACTACTTGCTGGTCTTTCACTCCACCAGTTTCACATGCCTTGACAGGGTTGTATTGGGTAGGGAATCATAGAGTTGGAAGAGACCTCAAGGGCCATCCAGTCCAACCCCCTACGAAGAAGCCTGAAAAATTGCATTCGAACACCCCTGACAGATGGCCATCCAGCCTCTGTTTAAAAGCTTCCAAAGAAGGAACCTCCACCACACTCCAGGGCAGAGAGTTCCACTGCTGAACAGCTCTCACAGTCAGGAAGTTCTTCCTCATGTTCAGATGGAATCCCCTTTCTTGTAGTTTGAAGCCATTGTTCCATTGCGTCCTAGTCTCCAGGGAAGCAGAAAACAAGCTTGCTCCCTCCTCCTCCCTATGACTTCCTCTCACATATTTATACATGGCTATCATGCTGGGGAAAATAGAAGGAAAAGGGGCAAGATGGATGGACAGGATCCTTGAAGTGACTGGATTGACCTTGAAGGACCTGGGGGTGGTGACGGCTGACAGGGAGCTCTGGCGTGGGCTGGTCCATGAATGTGTGTGCCATGCTCTAAGGCTGAGAGACTAATCTGATGCCTACCATGAGATGAAACCACAGGCCTGGCCAGCACTATCTGTCAAGGGAGAAATCCATGTAGTCAAAGGTATTTCACCTAGATGGGCAGAGGACCAAAGGGTGGTCCCAAGAAGGGGGCGTGTCCAGGGAGGAGAGGCCCTGCCCCCCAGGAGCAGGTAGCCCTGGAGAAGAGTTGCAGAGACAAAGAGGCTGGAGGTGGTCCCCTCTCAGGACCATGTGGTGAGTTCTCCTTTTCCCCATCTTCCACCTTTTGGGGAATCCTCAGATCTGGAGGGGAAAGAGGGGGAGAGGGAAGGGGAAGAAACGCTGCCTCTGGGGAGAATATAATAGGGCAGGTGTGGGCAAACTTGCAGGTATTTTGGACTTCAACTTCCACAATTCCTAATAGCCTACTGGTTGTTGAATTGTGGGAGCTGAAGTCCAAAACAAAACCATGTTTGACCATGTCTGGAATAGAGAAACAAAGGCCAACCAGGGAACATGGAGCAGGGCTGTGGACTACAACTCCCAGGAAGATCAGGAGAAGTGGAGGGCTAGAGAGCTGCTGATGGGATCTTCAGTATCCCTACCTCCTAGCTGGGACCCATTTCTTTACTTCCCTCCCTCCTTCTTTCCTTTCTTCCCTCCCTCCCTCCTTTCTGTCTTCCTTTCTTTCTTCCCTCCTCCTTCTTTTCTTCTTTCTTCCTTCCTCCTCCTTCTTTCCTTTTTCCTTCCTTCCTTTCCTTCCTTCCTTCCTTCCTTCTTCCTTCCCTTCTTTCCTTCTCCTTCCTTCCTTCCTTCTTTCTTTCTTCTTCCTTCATCCCTCCCTCCCTTCCTTCTTTCTTCTTCCTTTCTTTCTTCCCTTCCCTCCCTCCCTCCTTCTTTCTGTCTTCTTTCCTTCCTTCCTTCCTTCCTCCTTCCCTCCCTCCCTTCCCTCCTTCTTTCCTGTCTCTTTCCTTCCTTCCTTTTCCCTCCCTCCCTCCTTGCTCTCCTCCTTGAGCCCCCATCCCTTAATAGAATGATAGAGTTGGAAGAGACCTCATGGGCCATCCAGTCCAACCCCCTGCCAAGAAGCAGGAAAATTGCGTTCAAAGCACCCCCGACAGATGGCCATCCAGCCTCTGTTTTAAAGCCTCCAAAGAAGGAGCCTCAACCACACTCCAGGGCAAGGAGTTCCATTGCTGAACAGCTCTCACAGTCAGGAGGTTCTTCCTAATATTCAGATGGAATTCCCTTTCTTCTAGTTTGAAGCCATTGTTCCATTGCATCCTAGTCTCCAGGGCAGCAGAAAACAAGCTTGCTCCCTCCTCTCACATATTTATACATGGCTATGTATCCTCTCCATCCAGTCTCTTCTCTTCTTCAGGCTAAACATGCCCAGCTCTTTAAGCCGCTCCTCATAGGGCTTGTTCTCCAGACCCTTGATCATTTTAGTTGCCCTCCTCTGGACCCATTCCAGCTTGTCAATATCTCTCTTCAATTGTAGTGCCCAGAATTGGACACAATATTCCAGGTGTAGCCTAACCAAGGCAGAATAGAGTATGGGTAGCATGACTTCCCTGGATCTAGACACTATGCTCCTCTTGATGCCGGCCAAAATCCCTTCCTTCCTCCCTGGAACCAGCCTCCATCCCAAGAGAAAAAGGCTTTGGAAGGAGAAAGGCTCCAAAGGGAAAGAATGAGAGGCAGGTGCTTCAGGAACACATGGGGGGGGGAAATGGGATGCACACAAGGCGTATAAAGAAGTAAATGGAACTCTCCCCAGTTCAGCTTGGAAACAGGACAAGGGCTGGAGTCAGAGAAGGAGAAAATGTGTCCCCCCAGAAAGAGGGTGGAATGCAAATAAAGTTTTTTATTATTACATAAGAACACTATATGGAAAATGTGATGCTATCCTGAGGCCATTTTAGAGTTGGTAATGAAAGCATATTACATTCTTGCATGAGGAATTTGCATCACAGAATGCATGCATTTTGGGGGCACTTGGACTGCATAGTTTCCATGGTCTGCCATCCTGGGACTGGGAGCACCCGCACTCTTTGGCAGAGAAGGCAAAGGACTTTATCACACTAAAACTCTCAGAATTTCTCTCAGTTTTGGAACTATGTATGCAGAGTAGGCAGCAGTGAGGCAACATGAAGTTGTTACTACATGAAGTTGAAGTGAGAGGTTGACAAGCTGGAATGTGTCCAGAGGAGGGTGACTAAAATGATCAAGGGTCTGGAGAACAAGCCCTATGAGGAGCGGCTTAAGGAGCTGGGCATGTTTAGCCTGAAGAAGAGAAGGCTGAGAGGAGATATGATAGCCATGTATAAATATGTGAGAGGAAGCCACAGGGAGGAGGGAGCAAGCTTGTTTTCTGCTTCCTTGGAGACTAGGACGCAATGGAACAATGGCTTCAAACTACAAGAGAGGAGATTCCATCTGAACATGAGGAAGAACTTCCTGACTGTGAGAGCTGTTCAGCAGTGGAACTCTCTGCCCCAGAGTGTGGTGGAGGCTCCTTCTTTGGAAGCTTTTAAACAGAGGCTGGATGGCCATCTGTCAGGGGTGCTTTGAATGCAATATTCCTGCTTCATGGCAGGGGGTTGGACTGGATGGCCCATGAGGTCTCTTCCAACTCTAGGTTTCTGTGATTCTAAGTTTGCTCTAAACAGCCAGGGCTCTGGTTTTCTTACAGGGAAGCCAGATGGTGGGGACACAAAAGAGAGACTCCTTTCTCTTGAGAGTGGGAGATCATTAACCTGGACTTGATTTCCCCTTTGTCTTGCGTAGCCTTTGCTTTGTGACATCTTCAGGTAGAGAAGGGAAGAGGTCCTTCAGTCCTGATTGAGCCCAGAGTGGAGATGGAGGAGCCAGACCAGGCCAGCCCTGAAGGAGGAAGCGAGCCCAATGAAATGTGGGGCAGGAGAAGTGTTGCGTTCCCAGGTGGAATAGGCCAGGATGCCTTGGAGGAGAAGGCCTTCAGCGCAGACCTTCAGAGCCAACGCTTCCTCTATGAGGAGGCCTTGGGGCCCCGAGAGGTCTGCAGCCACCTCCACTCTCTCTGCAGCCTGTGGCTGAAGCCCGAGGAACATACAAAGATGGAGATGCTGGACCTGGTGATCCTGGAGCAGTTCCTGGCTGTCCTTCCTGTGGAGATGGAGCGCTGGGTCAGGGAATGTGGGGCAGAGACCAGCTCCCAGGCCGTGGCCTTGGCTGAAGGCTTCCTCCTGAGTCAGGCCCAAGAGGAGAAGGCGCTGCAGGAAGAGTGGCAGGAGAGAAAGGTCCTTCAATCCCAGGAGGCCCCACCAGGCACCAGCCAGGGCTTCCCTTCCAGGTGGATCAAGCTGGAGCAGGACACAAGAGCTGCTCCACCAGGTGAGAGGCCGTTTCCTTGGTCCTTGCTCTCAAGGTTCCTCCAAATGTCAGGTCTTCTGTTGTGTCCCCAAATACATGTTTCAATTGCTGTTTGTTAGAGGAGATCAAAGGGGCTACTCCACAGGGTATGACCCCTTCTTTCTCTTGGTCAAAGATCTCCCCAATATATGATTTTCTATTCTGTCCTGCACGATACGTGTCTTGAATAGCTGTTTTGTTAGAATGTGTCAAGAACAGTTTTAGGAATATTTACATCCAGTCTGGTATTGTATGGAAATGGGCTGTATCTCAGGAATGTCTGTGCCATATGAAACCCTTTCCAGTTCCTTCTGGTCTTTGTTTTAAGACTTCATATTGCTCCCTCTTTGTGTTGTTTGAATTGTAAACCGCTTTGAGACCTCAAAATGAGCTTTGAAAAACAAATACAGAAATCCAGTTTTCCTTTTCTTCCTATTTTGCCATTTCACAGGAGAGGAGACAAGGGTGCTGAGAAGACGTGGCAGCTCCACTCTTTCTGATACAGGAGAAGAAGTGGCATCTATTCTGCAAGATCAGGTAAAGAGATGACAGTCGAAATGAACTGGAGATAATTATGGAAATGTCCTCAACCACTTCATATGGACCGGAGCTTGCTTTTCTTCTGCTTCCACCCAAGCTTCCTTTTAGGAAATCCCAGAATGCTGTTCCTGAAGTCATTTATCTTCCAGTAGGGCCCACACAATGCCTTACACTTCAGATTTTCAAACAATTATAGGATCAATATAATAATAATAATAATAATAATAATAATAATAATAATAATAATATTTTTTTAATTTATACCCCGTCACCATCTCCTGCATCTCCCCTGGTGTCTCAGTGGGTTAAACCATTGAGCTGCTTTTTTTTTTTTGGTCATGTCAGGAGCGACTTGAGAAACTGTAAGTCACTTCTGGTGTGAGAGAATTGGCCGTCTGCAAGGACGTTGCCCAGAGGACGCCTGGATGATTTGATTGAAATCAAATTGAGCTGCTGAACTAGCTGAACGAAAGGTTGACTGTTTGAATCCAGGGAGCGGGGTGAGCTTCCATTGTTAGCTCCAGCTTCTGCCAACCTAGCAGTTCGAAAACATGCAAATGTGAGTAGATCAATAGGTACCGCTTCTGCGGGAAGGTAATGGCACTACAAGCCACATGACCTTGGAGGTGCCTATGGACAATGCTGGCTCTTCAACTTAGAAATGGAGATGAGCACCACCCTCCAGAATTGGACACAACTAGACTTAATGTCAAGGGGAAATCTTTAACTTTACTACCATCTCCCATAGGGACACAGGGCAGCATACAAATAGCACATAAGGGTGATACAGAACATATAAAAGACAGTGTATGGATGTTCAAACTAATAACACATTTGAAACCAGATATATAACATTACCAAGATTAATGGAGTCAATAAAATATGGCAGTAGCCGTTGATTAAAAGATCCATGCATCAATTTAGCCTTCTCTGGCTACACTTAGTAGTCTGGCTGCTATCTTAAACGTTGTCAAACATAGTTGTACATTCTGGAAGAACCTCCCAGGAGAGGCCTTATTAGCCATGGCTGATTCAGAGGTCTCACAATGCTGTTCCTTGAGGTCTTCTTCTGCTTCTTTGGCCCACGTGGTGCCTTCCTTTTTGGATTCAATCCTGCATTAAAACTTCCCTTGGAGCAACTTAGTTGTATGTATTGTCGAAGGCTTTCACAGCTGGAATCACTGGGCTGTTGTAGGTCTTTCGGGCTATATGGCCATGCTCTAGAAGCATTCTCTCCTGACATTTCACCTGCATCTATGGCAAGCATCCTCAGAGGTTGTGAGGACCTCACAACCAGGAAATCAGGGGATGCTTATTTCTTGGGAGGAGAGCAAGGACCAATCTTGATAAAGTAGTGAAGAGTAGAGACATAACACTGGCAACGAAGATCCACATAGTCAAAGCAATGGTATTCCTCGTAGTCACCTACGGATATGAGAGCTGGACCATAAGGAAGGCTGAAAGAAGAGAGATGCTTTCAAACTGTGGTGCTGGAGGAAAGTTCTGAGAGTACCTTGGACCGCGAGAAGATCCAACCAGTCCATACTTCAGGAAATAAAGCCCGACTGCTCATTGGAGGGAAGGATAGTAGAGGCCAAGATGAAGTCCTTTGGCCACATCATGAGAAGAAAGGAAAGCTTAGAGAAGGCAATGATGCTGGGGAACATGGAAGGGAAGGGAAAAGGAAGAGGGGCCAACCAAGGGCAAGATGGATGGATGGCATCCTTAAAGTGACTGGATTGACCTTGAAGGAGCTGGGGGTAATGACAGCCAACAGGGAGCTCTGGTGTGGACTGGTCTATGAGGTCACGAAGAGTCGGAAACGACTCAATGAATGAACAACAACACAGAAGACCCAGCTCAGGAAAGTTGGGGTGGCTACTCCTAAAAGTTATATCTTTGAATTCTTTGCTCAGAGTTTCAATTCATCAGGATTCTTCTTATCAGTTGAAGAAGCACTAATAATTTGTGTGACCAACTTTCTTCTTTCAGGTGACATTTGAGGATGTGGCTGTACATTTCAGTGTGGAGGAGTGGGCCCTCCTGGATATGGATCAACGGACCCTGCACTGGGAGGTCATGGAAGAAAATTGTAGGATGGTGGTTTCTCTGGGTAAGCATCCCTCAGTCTCTTGGTTAAGAAAAATCAATTTTGGGAGTTGCAATTTTTTTCTACAGTTTTGCTGCATAGTTCAGGAACACGAGTCACCTTTGGCCAGCACTTCTGGTTCCTGACCAGGCTGGAAGAAGTAATTTCCCTCTGGGCACAGGATGTTTACTCAATACTTACTTGAACATGGTTTAGTAGGGTGGCTCATGTTATTTTCAGATTGCATGTTGCATCACCTCCTGTACTATAGTGAGAGTGATCATCCATTTGTTTTTTTCTTCTTCCACAAAAATGGATGATCCATTTTTGTCTTTCTTCTTTCAAGGTGGTGATGGACAAGGGAGTGAAAATGGAGGAGCACGAAATAAAATGTTGCTGAAAGCAGTGAGAAGTCAAAAAGAAGAAAGCCCCAAAGTGGAAGCAGAAGGATATAACAGGAACCAGTGCCCTGTTGACATCAGGGAAATCCCAATCCAAGAGACAATAGACGAAATCAGGGAGATTGGAAACAGCCCTGTCTATGAAAATGGCTTCTTACAAGAGGCGTATAGTATACACCCTGCAAGCAATGAAAAATACGAAATTGTGGACAAGCCATATAAATGCCTGGAGTGTGGAAAACATTTTTATTTAATGATATACCTCCTTAGACATCAAAAAACCCACACAGGAGAGAAGCCATATAAATGCCTGGAGTGTGGAAAATGCTATACCCAAAAATGTAACTTAAGTATACACCAAAACACCCACAGGGAAGAGAAACCCTATAAATGCGTGAAGTGTGAAAAAGGTTTTTCTGATAAGAGAAGTCTTATTGGACATGAAATGAATCACAGAGGGGAGAAACCCTATCAATGCCTGGAGTGCGGGAAAAGTTTCTCTTGGAGAAATGGGCTTAAGCGGCACCTAAACACCCACGAAGGAGAGAAGCCATATAAATGCCTGGAGTGTGGAAAATGTTTCTTTCAGAAAGGAGACCTCAACGCACATCAAAAAACACACACAGGAGAGAAGCCATATAAATGCATGGAGTGTGGGAAATGTTTCCTTCAAAAAGGAAACCTCAAGATTCATGAAAGAATCCACACAGGAGAGAAGCCATATAAATGCCTGGAGTGTGCAAAATGCTTCACTCAGAAAGCAGTCCTTAATGCACATCAAGAAACCCACACTGGAGAGAAGCCATATAAATGCCTGGAGTGTGGAAAATATTTCTTTGAGAAAGGAAACCTCAAGAGACATGAAAAAACCCACACAGGAGAGAAGCCATATCAATGCCTAGAGTGTGGAAAACCCTTTCATAGAAAAAGTAGCCTCTGTAGACACCAAAAAACCCACACAGGAGAGAAGCCATATCAATGCTTGGAGTGTGGAAAAGGTTTTTCAGAAAAGAGATGTCTTATTGGACATGAAATGAATCACAGAGGAGAGAAACCCTATAAATGCCTGGAGTGTGGAAAAGGTTATTCTGATAAGAGATTTCTTATTGCACATGAAATGAATCACAGAGGAGAGAAACCCTATAAATGTCTGATATGCGGGAAGAGTTTTAGTTGGAGAACTGGCTTTAAGTTGCACCAAAACACCCACATAGGAGAGAAGCCATATAAATGCATGGAGTGTGGAAAATGTTTCTTTCAAAAAGGATACCTCACCACACATCAAGAAACCCACACGGGAGAAAAACCATATAAATGCATGAAGTGTGGAAAATGTTTCGTTCAGAAAGGAAACCTCAAGAAACATGAAAGAACCCACACAGGAGAGAAGCCACATAAATGCCTGGAGTGTGGAAAACCCTTTCATGAAAAAAGAGACCTCCGTAGACACCAAAAGACCCACACAGGAGAGAAGCCATATACATGCCTGGAGTGTGGAAAGCGTTTTCATCAAAAAGGAAGCCTCCGTAGACACCAAAACACTCACACAGGAGAGAAGCCATATACATGCCTGGAGTGTGGAAAATGCTATACCCAAAAAGATAGCCTAAGTAGACACCAAAACACCCACAGGGAAGAGAAACCCCATAAGTGCCTGGAGTGTGGAAAAGGTTTTTCTGATAAGAGAAATCTTATTGCACATCAAATGAATCACAAAGGAGAGAAACCCTATAAATGTCTGGAATGCGGGAAGAGTTTCTCTTGGAGAAATGGGTTTAAGCTGCACCAAAACACCCACACAGGAAAGAAGCCATATAAATGCTTGGAGTGTGGGAAATGCTTCCATCAGAAAAGTACCCTCAATGCACATCAAAAAACCCACACAGGCGATAAGCCATATACATGCATGAAGTGTGGAAAAGGTTTCACTGAGAAAGTCAACCTCAAGAGACATGAAAGAACTCACACAGGAGAGAAGCCATATAAATGCCTGGAGTGTGGAAAAGGTTATTCTGATAAGAGACATCTTATTGGACACGAAATGAATCACAGGGGAGAGAAACCATATCAATGTCTGGAGTGTGGGAAGAGTTATAGCCTTAAATCTGTTCTTACAGCTCACCAGAATAGTCATACAGGAGAGTTTGGGAAGAGTTTTAGCTACAAATCAGACCTCAAAAATATTGGAAATTCAATAACCTGTTGGAATTAACTGCATCCTAAGCTTATTGAAAAATTAAAAATGACATCACAGACCTCACTACCTCTGAGGATGCTTGCCATAGATGCAGGCGAAACATCAGGAGAGAATGCCTCTAGAACATGGCCATATAGGCCGAAAAAACCTACAACAACCCAGACATCACACCCGTTTGGCAAATGTGAATCTCCATAAACATGTGGAGATCACCTTTTGAAAACTATTAGTCAAGAAAAGCATGACCTAGTTAGGAATCAACTCGTTGAACAAGTGATATTCATAAGCATTCATGTAATGGCACACAGGTAACTCAGCTGTTAAACTGAAGAACCATGTCTTTAAACTGCCAAGGGTGAAGACATGCCACTACAAAAATATATATACCGTTTGCAGAGAATGGTTGTTTCTTTGAAGTTGAATTACAATTGTAATTGCCCAAAAGATACACACTCCCTTAAAACCTCTTAGTTAAAATAGGTACTCAGAGATAAGAACAAAGTGAAAAATGAAATGGCAAAAGTATGATAGCTGGGACCCTACGCTGGTTGGTCTGAATTAATGAGGAGAACACATGCGGGGGACAGCACAGCAAGTGAGAGACGCAGCTGTGTCAGTTGTGGCAAGATAGTTCGCCAGAAAGGGGGAGAGGAAACATTTCTATCCCTTTTACCATCTTCGTAAGCTGTTGTTTATAATTTAACGGTAAATAACTCTAACCTTACTTCACTCGCCTTAAGCACTATGCTTGACTGTCTGTTGTCCTCCCCCCTTTTCTGTACCCCCCTTCCCTTCATTAATTCTGACCCGCGTTGCACACATCTTCCCTTCATTAATTCTGACCCACGTTGTGCAAGTAGCGTAGCATAGAGTCCCAGCTATCATACTTTTGCCAGTGAAATGTCTTGTTTACTCATAAACAACTTGTATTCAGCATACAGGCACATTTCTTATTAGAGTTCAGTTAGATAACATGTAATTTGTTTTCTGTGTTGAGCACAATTTGTTATTACTGTGTTTGATTTATTGGGAGATTTCAAAGTGTATGTTTTTAAGGCTGTGTTTGTAAAAGCTGCCTAACATGTTTAGAGTTAACAGACCACAGAGGTGGTCTGTTTGGAAGCTTTTAAACAGAGGCTGGATGGCCATCTGTCAGGGGTGATTTGAATGCAACATTCCTGCTTCTTGGCAGGGGGTTGGACTGGCTGGCCCATGAGGTCTCTTCTAACTCTTTGATTCTAGGTTTGAATTTTTCCTAAAAGGACAAATGTGAAATTATTTCCTTCTTCCTCTGATGACTTTGGTCATCCGAAAACTATTTGAGAGGTGTGCCGTTACTGATTAGAGAAAGCTGTAATCGCCATCTTGACGAGATGACTTTGCATGAATAGACGTGCTTGCTCTGCTCTGCGTTGAGTTTTGTGTAAATAATGTAAATAAAGCTAATTACTTTATGGCTACAATCTGTCCAAGTTTTATTACAACATTGATACAATTGTCCATAGTCCTTAAGTATAGCTGTACTCACTGAAGTCTATAAGTCATACTTCTCTACTAAAGTCCAGACAGCAACATGCATCCACCTCCACTGAGGTCTAAAAGCATACTGAATACAAAATGGAGTCCATTTATTTATTTTATTTGTCGTGTCAGGGCAACCAGTCAATTATATTACATTTCTAACAGAACAAAGCAAACAAACCGACAAAATACAATTTGTGAGTTTGGTAGTTGATTAAATGTCCTTTGACCAGTATCTGGCCACTTGGAGTGCTTCTGTTGTTGCTGCAAGAAGATCCTCCATTGTGCATGTGGCAGGGCTCAGGTTGCACTGCAGCAGGTGGTCTGTGGTTTGCTCCTCTCCACACTCGCATGTCATGGATTCCACTTTGTAGCCCCATTTCTTGAGGTTGACTCTGCATCTCGTGGTGCCAGAGCGCAGTCTGTTGAACGCCTTCCAAGTCGCCCAGTCCTCTGTGTGCCCAGGGGGAGTCTCTCATTTGGTATCAGCCATTGGTTGAGGTTCTGGGTTTGAGCCTGCCACTTTTGGACTCTCGCTTGCTGAGGTGTTCCGGCGAGTATCTCTGTAGATCTTAGAAAACTATTTCTAGATTTAAGTCGTTGACGTGCTGGCTGATACCCAAACAAGGGATGAGCTGGAGATGTCTCTGCCTTGGTCCTTTCACTATTGGCTGCTACTTCCCGGCAGATGTCAGGTGGTGCAATACCAGCTAAGCAGTGTAATTTCTCCAGTGGTGTAGGGCACAGACATGTGATAATGCGGCATTTCTCATTAAGAGCCACATCCACCATTTTAGTGTGGTGAGATGTGTTCCACACTGGGTATGCGTACTCAGCAGCAGAGTAGCATAGCGCAAGGGCAGATGTCTTCACTGTGTCTGGTTGTGATCCCCAGGTTGTGCCAGTCAGCTTTTGTATGATATTGTTTCTAGCACCCACTTTTTGCTAGATGTTCAGGCAGTGCTTCTTGTAGGTAAGAGCACGGTCCAAAGTGACTCCCAGGTATTTGAGTGTGCTGCAATGCTCCAGTGGGATTCCTTCCCAGGTAATCCTCAGAGCTCAGGATGCTTGTCTGTTCTTAAGGTGAAAGGCACATGTCTGTGTTTTAGATGGATTAGGGATCAGCTGGTTTTCCCTGTAATAGGCAGTAAGAGCACCTAGAGCTTCTGAGAGCTTCTGTTCAACCATCTCAAAGCTCCCTGCTTGAGCGGTGATGGCACAATCATCAGCATAGATGGAGCTCTCTGTTCCTTCTGGCAGTGGCTGGTCATTTGTGTAGATGTTGAACATGGATGGAGCAAGCACGCTCCCCTGAGGCAGGCCATTCTTCTGTTTCCGCCATCTGCTTCTCTGGCCCTGGAACTCAACAAAAAAGCTCCTGTTTTGTAGCAGGTTTCCTATGAGGCGGGTGAGGTGGTCGTCCTTTGTGATATTATACATTTTTCTCAGGAGGAGGCGGTGGTTCACAGTATCATAGGCTGCTGACAGGTCTGAAGTCCTGTGTCTGAAGCCCCTCCCACACCAAAGAGTACAGTCAAACTGGCAAACCAAAATATACATTATACACATTTACAAATAGTGGAGGCTTGGAAGGTTGCTATCTCCAATAAAAAGCGTCCAGGATAGTCATAGAGAAGACAAGATCAAAGACATGTCTGGAGTGAGGGAAGAGCTTCCATAGGAGAGCAAGTCTCAAGCCACACCAAAAAAAACCAAATAGAATCCTAGAGTTGGAAGAGAACTCATGGGCCATCCAGTCCAAGAAGCAGGAATATTGCATTCAAAGCACCCTCAACAGATGGCCATCCCGCCCCTGTTTAAAAGCCTCCAAAGAAGGAGCCTCCACCACACTCTGGGGCAGAGAGTTCCACTGCTGAACAGCTCTCACAGTCAGGAAGTTCTTCCTCATGTTCAGGTGGAATCTCCTTTCCTATAGTTTGAAGCCACTGTTCTGTGTTTGAACTGCACATCAATCCTCAAAGATTACGGGAATGTTCATACAAGGAGAAATTATACACCTTCCTGTCTTTTGGAAAGAGTTGAGTTGCACATGATGTAGTAAAAAAAAAACATATGGGAAAGAAGCCATGGAAATGCCTGGAGTGTGGTCAAGCCTTCACTCAAGAGAAAAATCCCCTTGAGCATGGGATGAATCTCAGAGGAGAGAAGCGTCTACATGCTCTGAGGGTGGGAAGAGTTGTGTCCTCAAAGCAGGTCTCAAATCCCTCCAAGAGAGAAATCATACACGTCAAGAAAGTGGGAAGAGTTCAGTCCTCAATAGGCACCAGAATACTCCCACAACGAAGGAAACACATGTGGACAGAAAACCGCTCTAGCCTTTGTATTGATTCCCTCTTGTTTAGAATAACAGTTGATGCAAGTCATCTTGGACCTTTTCTTGGCATGCTTTAAGGTTCAGCCCAGTCCTGGCCTTGTGGTCCTGTTGCTGCTTGACTGGTGGAGATGACATATCCACACTGGTTTCCTTTTCCCCCCAGCTCTTTTGTGCTTGTTTTAGAACGTTCACTGAAATGTGCTCTGTTTTTTGGCTTATTTTGCAAATGTTCAGAGAGAAATAAAGGCATCTTATGGCCTTGTGGTGTAATGTTTTGAGCCTTGTGTTGTCCCTCTGTAAGGCAGAGCTTGCAGCCCCACTTGGCCTTGGAAACCCACTGGTGTGCCTGGAGCAAGTGACATCCTCTCAGCCTCAGAGAAAGGCAGAGGTGAAGTCCCTCAGGATCCAAATACTAACCCGGGCTGACTCTGTTTAGCTTCCAAAATCAGGCAAAATCTGGTGCCTCCTCCTCCTCCTTATTATTATTTAAAAGACAACAAGATGTGTACACAGCAAACAAGGTTACTCTCCTGGCTGTTGTATTGAATCACACGTTGGACACTTCCCAAGTGTCTAAAACTGTGTGATGTATCAGCGAATAATGTGTTGTTGTTGTTGTTATGTTACATTTATACTCCGCCCTTCTCACCACAATGGGGGAGTCAGGGCAGCTTACAGACAATGGCATACAATGTCATATTACACATATAATAATAAACATGACATATCGATGTAAACAAATAACATATCAATTTAAACATATAGTAATAAACATGACATATCAATTGAGGCATATTATTCTATCTATCTATCTATCTATCTATCTATATATATCTCCCACCATGATGGGTCAGTCCCCTCAATTCCCTCCAGTAGATTTAGTTGGTCATGGGGGTTCCGTGTGCCAAGTGTGGTCCCAATCCATTGTCAGTTGGGATCACAGTTTCTCTGGGTGTAGGTGGACTACAACTCCCAGAAATCAAGGTAAGTTCTCTCCAAGTCCCTCCAATAGGTTCAGTTGGTCATGGGGGCTCTGCATGCCAAGTGTGGTTCTGGTCCATTGTCAGTTGGGGTCACAGTTTCTCTGGATGTAGGTGGACTCAGGGGAGATGCATAAGGGAACTACAACTCCCAAATGTCAAGATCTATTTCTCCCAAACTTCATCTGTGTTCATATTTGGGCATTTGCAATATTCGTGCCAAGTTTGGCCCAGATCCATTATTGTTTGAGTCCGCAGTGCTCTCTGGATGTAGGTGAACTACAACTCCCAAACTCAAGGTCAATGCTCACCAAACCCTTCTAGTGTTTTCTGTTGGGTCATGGGAGTCCTGTGTGCCATGTTTGGTTCAATTCCATCATTGGTGGAGTTCAGAATGCTCTTTGATTGTAGGTGAATGATAAATCCCAGCAACTACAACTCCCAAATGACAAAATCATAATTTTTTGAGTGATGGTCACTCCTTGAGTTAGTAGGTATCTTGTATCCAAATTTGGCAGCAATTTATCCAGTGGTTTTTGAGTTATGTTAATCCCACAAGCAAACATTACATTTTTATTTATATAGATTCTGCCGATGTCATCCCAAATTGTAAATGAATGATAGACGCCTTCTATCCTGGCTCCATCTCATTTTCCTGGCCAGGTGTCCATCTTCTTGACTGGTGTTGACAGACACAAGGCTTGTGTTGACTTCCTTCTTAACATCAGGAATTCTGCAAACTTTTCCTTAACTTGAAATAATCATTGACACCATTCTTATCAGTGTTTACTTTTCAGTTAGCAACTTTTAATTATAGTCCAGCAAGCAGGTAGTGAGTCATTGCAGGTGTGGGTCTTTTACTGATGTTTAGCTCCATACATCCTTCCATTTCAGGCAAAAATTGGTATGATAAGAAACAAAGATGGCAGGGACCTAACAGAAGCTGAAGAGATCAAGAGAAGGTGGCGAGACTATACAGAAGATCTGTATAGAAAGGATAATAATATTGAGGATAGTTTTGACGGTGTGGTGAATGAATTAGAACCAGACATCCTGAGGAGTGAGGTTGAATGGGCCTTAAGAAGCATTGCTAACAACAAGGCAGCAGGAGACGACGGGATCCCAGCTGAACTGTTTAAAATCTTAAAAGATGATGCTGTCAAGGTGATGCATGCCATTTGCCAGCAAATATGGAAAACACAAGAATGGCCATCAGACTGGAAAAAATCAACTTATATCCCCATACCAAAAAAGGGATATGCGAAAGACTGCTCAAACTTCCGTACAGTGGCCCTTATTTCTCATGCCAGTAAGGTAATGCTCAAGATCCTGCAAGGAAGACTCCAGCAATACATGGAGTGAGAGTTGCCAGATGTTCAAGCTGGGTTTAGAAAAGGCAGAGGAACGAGAGACCAGATTGCCAATATCCGCTGGATAATGGAGAAAGGCAGGGAGTTTCAGAAAAACATCTACTTCTGCTTCATTGACTATTCTAAAGCCTTTGACTGTGTGGATCATAATAAATTGTGGCAAGTTCTTAGTGGGATGGGCATCCCAAGCCACCTTCCCTCTCTCCTGAGGAATCTGTACAAGGACCAAGTAGCAACAGTCAGAACTGACCATGGAACAACAGACTGGTTCAAGATTGGGAAAGGCGTACGGCAAGGCTGCATCCTCTCACCCAACCTATTCAACTTGTATGCAGAACACATCATGCGATGTGCGGGGCTTGACAAATGCAAGGCTGGGGTAAAAATTGCTGGAAGAAACATTAACAACCTTAGATATGCAGATGATACCACTTTGATGGCCGAAAGGGAGGAGGAGCTGAGGAGCCTTCTAATCAGGGTGAAAGAAGAAAGCGCAAAAGCTGGGTTGCAGCTAAACATAAAAAAAACCAAGATTATGGCAACAAGAATGATTGACAACTGGAAAATAGAGGGAGAAACCGTGGAGGCCGTGACAGACTTTGTATTTCTAGGTGCAAAGATTACTGCAGATGCAGATTGTGGCCAGGAAATCAGAAGACGCTTACTTCTTGGGAGGAGAGCAATGTCCAATCTCGATAAAATAGTAAAGAGTAGAGACATCAGACTGGCAACAAAGATCCGCCTAGTCAAAGCCATGGTATTCCCTGTAGTAACCTACGGATGTGAGAGCTGGACCTTAGGGAAGGCTGAGCGAAGGAAGCGAGATGCTTTTGAGCTGTGGTGTTGGAGGAAAGTGTCTGAGAGTGCCTTGGACTGCGAGAAGATCCAACCAGTCCATCCCCCAGGAAATAAAGCCCGACTGCTCATTGGAGGGAAGGATACTAGAGACAAAGTTGAAGTACTTTGGCCACATCATGAGGAGACAGCAAAGCCTAGAGAAGACAATTATGCTGGGGAAAGTGGAAGGCAAAGGAAGAGGGGCCGACCAAGGGCAAGATGGATGGATGGCATCCTTGAAGCGACTGGACTGACCTTGAAGGAGCTGGGGGTGGTGACGGCCGACAGGGAGCTCTGGCGTGGGCTGGTCCATGAGGTCACGAGGAGTCGGAGACGACTGAACGAATGAACAACAACAACAATCCTTCCATTCTTCCATTCATTCCCACACAGCATATTAACTTCACATTTATCAAATCTGCACACTGAATTTGTTATTACATCATCATTCTTATTAGTGTTTACTTTTCAGTTAGCAACTTTTAATTATAGTCCAGAAAGCAGGTAGTGAGTCATTGCAGGTGTGAGTCTTTTACTGGTGTTTAGCTCCATACATCCTTCCATTCTTCCATTCATTCCCACACATCATATTAAATCCACATTGATCAAATCTGCACATTGAATATTTAATGACATCAGCAGTATGGCATTCTGATTCCCAATGCTCCAGCCTTCTCAGTCCTTCCTGGACTCCCTGCCCCACACTTTGTGAAGGCAAGCCCATGTATTATGTTGGAGCCCATTGGAGGAAAAGGGGGAGGAGGCACAAAGGGGGGAGTTCCAAGGGGAGGGATGGAGGGGGAAAAGGGGGGCGAGGCCCCGCCCACAGCATCAGCACCAGCACTTCTCCCGGGAGGGGAGTTGCAGAGACAAAGAGGCATCAGTTGGTCTGCCCCCTTGCCCACCTCTTCCTTCTCAGGGCCAAGCGGTGAGTCCTCCTTTCTCCACATCTTCTGCTTTTAGGGAAGCTTCACATCTGGAGGGGAGCAGAGGGGAGAAGACCCCTCCCTTCCTTACTCAGCGTGGAGGGAGGGAAGGGGAGGGAGGGCTGCCTCTGGGGAGAAGGGAAGACAGAGAAGGAAGAAAGGCCCACCGGGAAACATGGGGCAGGGCTGTGGGCTACAACTCCCAGAGTGCTCAAGACACTAGAAGAGCCAGAAGTCTGGGGATGAGCTCTGAGGTGCCCTTCCAAGTTTCTCTCCCTTCCTTCCTCGCGAAGGATTCACCTAAGGCTGGATGGCCATCTGTCAGGGGTGCTTTGAATGCAATATTCCTGCTTCTTGGCAGGGGGTTGGACTGGATGGCCCATGAGGTCTCTTCCAACTCTTTGATTCTATGATTCTATGAATGCAGATTCCAAAGCCCCCTCCCCTCAAATCTGGCCAGGAGGGAGGGGGGCTCTACAGTGTCCCTCCCTCCCAGCCGGGCCCCTTTCCTCTCTCCCTTCCTCCCTCGTTGCTCTTCCTTCTTGAGTCTCTACATTCCTCCTGGAGGTCATATTTCCTTCCTTCCCTCATTACTCTTCCCCAGTCCCTTCCTTCTTCCTGGAGACCGCCCTTCCTTCCTTCCTTCCTTCCTTCCTTCCTCTTCCTTCCTTCCTTCCCCTTCCTTCCTTCCTTCCTTCCTTCCTTCCCTTCTTCTTCCCCTCCTTCCTTCCTTCCTGTCTCCTCACCTCACCTCACCTCCCATCTGTTTGACTCAGTCCGCCCAGCTGCAAGACACACTGGGAAAGGCCGCCACAGACCTCCTTCCATCCTTCCTTCCTTCCTTCCTTCCTTCCTTCCTTCCTTCCTTCCTTCCTTCCTTCCTTCCTTCCTTCCTTCCTTCCTTCCCTTTCTCACTTTTTTATTTCCTTCTCTCCTTCCCTCCTTCTTTCTCTCCCTCCTTCTCTCCCTTCCTTCTCTACCCTTCTTTCCTTCCTTTCCTTCCTTCTTCCTTTCCTCCTTCATCCTTTCCGGGCCCCTCCCTTCCTCCCTCCGGCCTCCCTTCCTTCCTTCCTTCCTTCCTTCCTTCCTTCCTTCTTTCCTTCCTTCCTTCCTTCCTTCCTTCCTTTCTTCCTTCTTGTTCCTCCTCTCTCCTTCTCTTTCCTTCCTTCTTCCTTCCTTGCTCTTCCTTCTTGAGCCCCAGTCCTTCCTTCCTTCCTGGAGGTCATCTTTCCTTCCTTCCTTCCTTTCTTCCTTCTTCCTCGTAGCTCATCCTTCTTGAGCCCCAGTCCTTCCTTCCTCCTGGCTCTCTTTTCCTTTCTTCCTTCTTCCTTTCCTTTCTCTCTTCCTTCCTTCCTCCTTCCTTCCTTCCTTCCTTCCTTTCCTTGTCGCTCTTCCTTCTTGAGCCCCAGTCCCTTCCTTCCTTCCTGGAGGTCATCTTTCCTTCCTTCCTTCCTTTCTTCCTTCCTTTCCTCGTAGCTCATCCTTCTTGAGCCCCAGTCCCTTCCTTCCTCCTGGAGGCCGTCCCAGTCCCTGCCTTCCTCCTACAGGACATCCTTCCTTTCTTCCTTCCTTCCTTCCTTCCTTCCTTCCTTCCTTCCTTCCTTCCTTCCTTCCTTCCTTCCTTCCTTCCTTCCTTCCTTCCTTCCCTCTTACTCTCTTTCTTCCTTCCTTCCTTCCTTCCTTCCTTCCTTTCCTTGTCGCTCTTCCTTCTTGAGCCCCAGTCCCTTCCATCCTCCTGGAGGTCATCCTTCCTTCCTTCCTTCCTTCCTTCCTTCCTTCCTTTCCTTCCTTCCTTCCTTCCTTCCTTCCTTCCTTCCTTCCTTCCTTCCTTCCCTCCTTCGCTCTTCCTTCTTGAGCCCCAGTCCCTTCCTTCCTCCTTGAGATCATCCTTCCTCCCTCTCACCCTGTCCTCCTCCCAGAAGAAGAAGGGGCTTGGAGGCTCCAAAGGGAAGGAAAGAGAGACCCGGGGTGCAGGGACACAAGGGAGGAAGATGGAGATGTACACAAGGCATATCAGGAAGTCAATGAAACCCTCCCAAGAGACTGGACAAGGGCTGGAGAGAGAAGTGAGGCTGGAGTCAGAGGTGGAGAAAAGGGGGGAAAGTCAGAATTAAGTTGAAGTAGGAAGCGGGGCAAGCTGATATTTATTTACTTATTTGCCATATTTATATCCCACCCTTTTAACCCTGAAGGGGGACTCAGGGCGACGCACGTCAAGGCACAATTCGGTGCCATACAAGACATGACAGCAGGAATGTACTGGTTCAAGCTTCAGAATTAGAACCCATCAGGTTATAACATTATATAGTACACATCATAACACTACATGGAAAATGTAATGCTATTGGATAGTTATTTATTTATTTCCTATCAATAGCATTGCATAAGTTAGTATAAAACTGATAAAAAATATAAGCAGTGACAGAAACCACATTGTCTGTAGCCTCAAACAATTCTTCTTCTGAACATGAGGCAGGGCATTGTGGGCAGGCATACAGATGAGGAGTTGTGTGTTCTGCTCCACAGTCACACAAAGTGAAGGATTCTTTTAGGTAGTGAGAACATATTGCGTTCTTGTATAAGACATCGTCATTATAGAGTGAATGCTCTTTGGGGCCATTTGGACTGCACAGTCTCAATGGTCTGCTGTTCTGGGAGAGGGAATTTGGTGAGGCACCAGAACTCTTTGGCAGAGAAGGCCAGGGACTTTGCCACACTACAACTCCCAGGGTTCCTCTCAGCTTCAGAACTGTATATACAGGGCAACAAGGGAAGTGGGGCTGAAGATGGGAAGAAGGGGAAGGGAAGAGCAATGCAGGTGGATCCCCATAGTGTTACTTCATGAAGTTGGCTCTAAGCTGCCAGGGCTCTGCTTTTCTTACAGGGAAGCCATAAAGTGGCAACACAAAAATGGCTTGTAAAGACTCCTTATATCTTGACGGTAGTAGATAAATAATCTGTACTTCCTCTCCCCTTTGTCTTGCATAGCCTTTGCTTCGTGACATCTTCAGGTGGAGAAGGGAAGAGGTTCTTCCATCCTGATGGAGCCAAGAGTGAAGATGGAGGCGCCAAGCCAGACCAGCCCTGAAGGGGGAAGAGAGCCCAATGAAATGTGGGGCAGGAGGAGTGTTGGGTTCCCAGGCGGAATGGGTCAGGATACCCTGGAGGAGAAGGCCTTCAGTGCAGACCTTCATTGCCAATGCTTCCGGCATTTCCGCTATGAGGAGACACAGGGTCCCCGAAAGGTTTGCAGCCGCCTCCACTCTCTCTGCCGCCTGTGGCTGAAGCCCGAGCGACACTCCAAGGCAGAGATGCTGGACCTGGTGATCCTGGAGCAGTTCCTGGCTGTCCTTCCTGCGGAGATGGAGCGCTGGGTGAGGGAATGTGGGGCAGAGACCAGCTCCCAGGCCGTGGCCTTGGCTGAAGGCTTCCTCCTGAGTCGGGCCCAAGAGGAGAAGGTGCTGCAGGAAGAGCAGCAGGAGAGAGAGGTCCTTCAAGCCCAGGAGGCCCCACCAGGCATCAGCCAGGGCTTCCCTTCCAGGTGGATCAAGATGGAGGAGGAAGAGGACACAAGAGCTACTCCACCAGGTGAGAGCCCTCCCTTTTGTTTGTTCTTAGTTCTCAAGGTTCTTCCACATAGATGGTCTTTGGATATATCCCCTCTGAGACTTGTATTCAGTAGGTGGATTATGAGAACATTTCTAAGCATAGTTATTAGAATATCTAGATCAGTGATTCTCAACCTGTGGGTCCGCAGATGTTTTGGCCTTCGATTCCCAGAAATCCTAACATCTGGTAAAGTAGCTGGCATTTCTGGGAGGTGTAGGCCAAAACTCCTGGGGACCCACAGGTTGAGAACCACTGATCTAGATGGTTACATTACTTAGGTGATTCCCTGGCAGAATGGGTCAGGATGCCCTGGAGGAGAAGGCCTTCAGTGTAGTAGACCTTCAATACCAACGCTTCTGGCGCTTCTGCTTCCAGAAGGCCTTGGGGCCCCTAGAGGTTTGCATCCAGCTCGAGGATGATGGTCCTCCAAGTGTTGTGTCTTGGTGGTGGGTTCTTAGGTGGGTGTGGAGCCCTATTCTTGATCCGCCTGTTTTCCCGCAGTGAGGATATCAGTTTCCAGGTAGAAGGTGGTCCTGGTCAGGGTTGTTACAACATTTCTGGGAATGGTTATTAGGATATCTAGATGCATGCTGGTATTGCATGAAACTGGCTTCATTGAATCCTTATGTCAGATGAAACAATGTCAGTTGTTTCAGTTCCTTTTCAAGTTTTTTCAAGCCGTTCAGCAGTGGAACTCTCTGCCCCACAGTGTGGTGGAGGCTCCTTCTTTGGAAGCTTTTAAACAGAGGCTGGATGGCCATCTGTCAGGGGTGATTTGAATGCAATATTCCTGCTTCTTGGCAGAATGGGGTTGGACTGGATGGCCCATGAGGTCTCTTCCAACTCTTTGATTGTATGATTCTTTTAAAAAATTGTAAACCTTGAAGTGAGACTTAAAAATACAGAAATTAGTTTTCTCTTTCCTTCCTTTCTTTGGAATTTCACAGCGGAGGACCCAAGGATACTGAGAAACTGCAATAGCTCATCTCTTTGTGAAGCAGGAGAAATGGCCTCCATGGAACAGGATCAGGTAAAAAGATGGAAATAGAAATGTACTGGAGATAATTCTGGAACTGTCCAGATTGGTTTGTGTTCAGCTTCTGCCCAAGTTTCCTTTTAAGCGATCTCTGGACACTGTTCTCTGATGCCTTCCTCTTCCACCAAGCCCACACTGTGCTTTTCACTTTGGACTGAATCCCCTGAATCAAACTATCAATAGATCAATATAGCTTTATGTTATGGAAGGACCACAAGGGAGGTGACTTTTCTGTGGGTGCTTTCAGGATCCAGAACTTCCTTTCCAAAGAGAAGAGACTGTTGTGTGTCCATCCACCTCCAAGGCTTCTTATCAGGGGTTCTATGCCATCATAAAATTTATGTTAGACTAGCTGTCCCCTGCCAGGCGTTGCTGTGGCCCAGTCTGTTGATCTGGAAAATAAAGTAATGAGAAAGTGTTGGTTTCTAATATATGTAATTTCTTTCTGCTTGTGGGTAAACAGTATTTCTTGCTGTTTCTTTGTCAGTGTTGATGTGGAGAGTGTCTGGTTTGCCCACCCTGGAACATGCAGCATATCATTGTTCTTCTTTAAGGGTCCCTTTCAAATCTTTGATACTATATCTCTCTCTCTGTGAATCATATCTATCTGTCTGTCTATTTATCTAATCTATGGCTGGATGGCTCTTTGTCAGGAGGACTTTGATTACGTTTTCTTGCCCTGATGAAGGGAGTTGGATTGGATGGCCTTAAGTATTTTCTGTTGGTCATGGGGGTTCTGTGTGGGAAGTTTGCCCCGATTCTGTTGTTCGTGGGGTTCAGAATGCTCTTTGATTGTAGGTGAACTGTGAATCCCAGTGACTACAACTCCCAAATGTCAATGTCTATTTTCCCCAAACTCCATCTGTGTTCATATTTGGGCGTATTGAGTGCTTGTGCCAAGTTTGGTCCAGATCCATCATTGTTTGAGTCCACAGTGCTCTCTGGATATAGGTGAACTACAACTCCCAAACTCAAGGTCAATGCCCACCAAACCCTTCCAGTATTTTCTGTTGGTCATGGGAGTTCTGTGTGCCAAGTTTGGTTCAATTCCATCGTTGATGGAGTTCAGAATGCTCTTTGATTGTATAGGTGAACTATAAATCCCAGCAACTACAACTCCCAAATGACAAAATCATAATTTTTTGAGTGATGGTCACTCCTTGTGTTGTGAGACGTTTTGTTGCCAAATTTGGTGTGATTTCGTTCATTGGTCCTTTTGTTTTTAACGTACTCATTATGCACAGAGCATTTTTATATATATAGATTGGAAGAGACTCTATTAGCTCCAGTTAAGGAGCCAGATTAATCTCTTTAAACCTTGACAGTGTCTTTCTCCTAATAGAAGAAGGGTTTTCTGTTGCAACAGGCCTTGGAGAACAGATGACTTAGCTGGAACAGGGCTCTTAGAGCACACAGGATCTTGTATCTTTTGCTGTATTGTAGTTTTATCATTTGTCCTGGTTTTAATTTTTGATCACTCAATTGCTTTTTCAACTTCTGGATCTGTGAATGTTTAACTAGAACTGTTTTAATCTGCTGTAAACGGTCTTAATTCCCCAACTGGGGAACAGTATGCCTCGTAGTGCAAGAAGCATTGCTGATCCTCATATCCTAATCCTCCTCTTTCAGGTGACTTTTGAGGATGTGTCTGTACATTTCAGTGAGGAAGAGTGGGTCCTGCTAGACCCGAATCAACAGGCCCTGCACTGGGAGGTCATGGGAGAGAATTATGAGACGTTGGCCTCTTTCGGTAAGGATCCCTCTGTTTCTTGGTCTGTAGAAATCAGTTTTGGAAGCAGTTTTGCTACATAACCTAGGATCATGATTCTTCATTCAAACATTTTCCATTGTTCCTGTTGAATTTGTGTAAGTATATTTTGTGCCCATTTGGCCATACAGCCTTTCTCTTGCTGTTCCTCCATGTCATACCATAACAACAGTTTAGATATTGATCATTTCCAGAATACGCTGGACTTCAGGGGGTTGGACTGGATGACTGGATGACCCACAAGGCCTCTTTCAACGCTATGATCCTATGATCCTATGAAATCCTTTTTAATTAGGGTGACATACATCATTCTCCAGAACTGATATATTTTTGATATCTAAATCTATTATTCTTAGAATAAAAAGTATGTCATTTTTACCCAGAATAATTTTGGATCATAATCCTGTTGCTCTGGTGTTATTTAATTGGAAAATTAAAATTATTACATGATGAAAAACAGTATTAGAAAGTGAATAACCAGTTAAAAGTGAGATTAGGATGATCTATTTATTATTTATTTATTTACAACATTTCTATGCCCCCCCTTCTCAACCCCCGAGGGGGGGACTCAGAGCGGCTAACACTGGCAGCAATTCGATGCCGCAAATTCACAATATAACAACAGTATAAAACCATAAATACATAATAGATTAAAACAATAACATTAATTATACAGCCATATAGCCGTTTCGATTATCATAACAATTATCATATGGTCCAGTTCAATGTCCAAAGTGCTGTTGTGCCTGCTAGCCAAAAGCCTGGTTCCAAAACCATGATTTCAGGTTTTTTCCTAAAGGAGAGGTGGGAGGATGCCAATCTAATCTCGCTGGGGAGCGAATTCCACAAGCAGGGGGTCACCACCCAGAAGGCCCTGTCCCTCGTCCCTACCAGACACGTTTGCAAGGCTGGTGGGACTGAGAGCAAGGCCTCCCCGGTGGATCTTAAACTACAAGGCGGAACATAGAGGGAGATATATTCAGACAAGTCAGCTGGGCCAGAGTCATATAGGGCTTTATAGGCCAAAACCAGCCCTTTGAATTGTGCTCTGAAATGGATCTAATCTAGCTAGTTGATTTCCTGCTTCTGTTTTCTCATGCCTTCTTGCTGTTTCTCTTTTCTTCGAGGTGCTGCAGCAAAAGAGAGTGAAAATGGGGGAGCAACATGTAAAGTGTGGCTGGAAACAGCAAGATATAAAGAGCGAGGAAAGGGCATCATGGAAATGGAACCAGAAGAATATAGAAGGAAGGAGCCTTCTACCAATATGAGGGGAATCCAAGAGACGGTGGACGAGAGGAGGGCAATCAGAAACTGTCTTGTCTTTGAGAATAGCTACTTGCATGAGGAATCATACCGGATTGATGATATAACAAATGATATGGAGAAAGGACAAACTAAATGGTATCAATTGGAAGAAACCTTTGGCTCTAATATACACCTTACAAACTATGACAAACCACTAATTGTACACAAGCCATATAAATGCCTGGAATGTGGGAAAGGTTTCCATCTTAAAGAAAGCCTACGAAGACACCAAAAATCCCACTTGGAAGAGAAGCCATTTAAGTGCCTGGAGTGTGGGAAGGGCTTTGCAGAAAAGAGAACTCTCATTGGACATGAAATGAATCACAGAGGAGAGAAACCCTATCAATGCCTGGAGTGTGGGAAAGGTTTTGTTCAAAAGAGAAACCTGACTGGTCATGAAATGAGTCACAGAGGAGAGAAGCCCTACCAATGCCCGGAGTGCGGGAAGAGTTTCTGTTTGAGAAATACTCTCAAGGTGCACCGGAAAACCCACTTGGGAGGGAAGCCACATCAATGCTTGGAGTGTGGAAAAGGCTTTGCTGAAAAGAGAAATCTCATTCGACATGAAATGAATCACAGAGGAGAGAAACCCTATCAATGCCTGGAGCGTGGGAAGAGTTACAGCCTTCACTCCATTGTTATATCTCACCAGAACGGTCATACAGAGGAGAATGGTCATACAGAAGAGACATCAAAGACGTGTCTAGAGTGTGGGAAAAGCTTCCATCGCAGAGCAAGTCTCAAGAAGCACCAAAATATCCACACAGGAGAGAAGCCGTATAAATGCCCGGAGTGTGGGAAATGCTTCCATCGAAAAGAAGCCCTAAGCAGACACCAAACAATCCACTCTGGAGAAAAGCCATTTAAATGCCTGGAGTGTGGGAAAAGCTTCCGTATAAAAGAGGCCCTAAACAGACACAAAAAAACTCACTCAGAAGAAAAACCCCATAAATGCCCTGATTGTGGAAAATGTTTCCATCTAAATGGAGACCTCAACAGACACCAAACAACCCACACAGGCGAGAAGACCTATAGATGCCTGGAGTGTGGGAAAGGGTTCTGTCAAAAAGGAAAACTCCAGAGACACCAAAACATCCACACTGGAGAAAAGCCATACACATGCTTGGAGTGTGGGAAAAGTTTCCGTCTAAAAGAAGCCCTAAACAGACATCAAACAACCCACTCAGGGGAAAAGCCACATAAATGCCTGGAGTGTGGGAAAAGCTTCTGTCAAATACGCGCCCTAAGTAGACACCAAACAACCCACTCAGGAGAGAAGCCATATAAATGCCTGGAGTGCGGGAAAAGCTTCCATCAAAACCGAGCCCTAAGCAGACACCAAAAAACCCACACAGGAGAGAAGCCATATAAATGCCGGGAGTGTGGAAAGGGCTTCATTGCCAAGAAAAGTTTCATTGGGCATGAAATGAACCACAGGGGAGAGGCACCCTATAAGTGCCTGGAGTGTGGCAAGGGCTTCATCTACAAGAGAGGTCTTCTTCTGCATGAGATGAATCACCGAGGAGAGAAACCCTATCGATGCCTAAAGTGTGGGAAGAGCTTTAACTGCGAATCGGTCCTCAAAAATCACCAGAACACTCACGTAGAAGAAAAGCCACACACGTGCCTGGAATGTGGGAAAAGTTTCAGTTGGATAGAAAGCTTCAGGTACCACCTCAAAACCCACACTGGAGAGAAGCCATATAAATGCCTGGAGTGTGGGAAAGCCTTTTCTCAGAGGAAATATCTCACGGGGCACGAAAGGCATCACAGAGGAGAGAACCCCTATCAATGCCTGGAATGTGGAAAGAGTTATATGTTCAAATCAGGTCTCAAAAGTCACCAGGACAGAAAGCATGCGCATGCCAAGAGTGTGGGGAGAGTTCAGTCTTCTCCAGAATAGTCACACAATTAAGAAAACATATCTGGACAGTAAGCTACTTTAGCCCTTGTATTGATTTTCTTCTGTCTGGTGTGACAATTTATTCAAGGCATCTTAGTTCTACTCTTGGTGCACTTTCAGGAATAGTATGGGCCTTGTGGCACTATTGATGCCTCACCAGCTGACATGATGTATCCACACTTGTCTCCTCCTTTTCAGATGTAAGTTGTTCTCTGCTGTTCTTTCACAGAATTTTGCTCAGTTTTGCAGATTTTGACAGAGGAATAAAGGTATTTTATAGCTGCATAGTGTGATATTTACTTAGGCGATCCCTATGTGTAGTGTCTTGGTGGTGGGTGCATAGATGGCTGTGGAGACCTATGCTAGAACTGTTTATTCACACACATAAACATTCATTCATACATACATTACCATCTCTTCTTCTTTCTCCTGGAAAAGAGACCTGCACGCAGGCCAGATTGTGTTCCCTGGGAATTTGCCATTCTGTGAATACACCATATTCCTCCGTCCCTTGGAGAAGATGGCGGGTAGACCGGACTCCTCCGGTCTGCCACAATTTTGGAATAGTAAAGTGTCTCTTATAGAGCATATTGCTCACTGATGTTGCTCCAAAAGTTGTAAACGAATGACTGGTGTTTTCCCCAGCTAAAACATCCTGATTCCATCAGTTCCTGGACTGTTCCCTTAAGTGATAATTGATTTTCCTTCTTACTGTAAGGAACCACTGTGTTCGCTTCCTTTAAAAGAGCCATTGTCTCTGGTAATGTAAATATGCTGTTTTCCACCACAGAGTTAATCATTTGTCTCTCTGGTCATGTCAGCAGTTCTCATTAGCAATTTGTAATTACAGCTCATTAATTCTCTTTTTTGTAGCTTTCCAGGCCTCATTTCTTAGGATGATATCTTTTGGCTTTATAGCTCCAACCATACATCCAGGGCCGGCCCTAGGAAATTTCAAGTGTAAGCAAACAGTATTTTGCCCCCCCCCCCCCCCGCCTTAAAAAAATCACTGAAAAATAAAAAGTCGAAGGTAGAGGTGAAAAGGACGTGGAGGGGGAGCTGTGTTGGACTGCTTTCCTTAGGAGCAAGGATGAATCCGTGTTCTTGGAGCTGGAACCCGAGGAGGCTGCGAGGATGGAGAGGATCTCCCTTTGGGGGCTGTTACTCCTGCTCCTCCTGTGTGCCCGGGGCCCCTCAAGAGCACCCCTCAGGAATGTGGTGCTCTACGCAAATGCGTAATTCGCTTAATGGTTCAGCCACCCCTGCATACATCTCTCGTACAATTCAATTCAAACCATACATCATATATTTATTGATCACAACGGAACCCTTGCCTTCTCTCAGGCTTCTCCTATTGTCGTAGCCTAGAACAGTATGGGCGTTTCCACTGCAGCATCACACTGTTAACTTGTGTTCAGCTCATGGCCAACTAAGACTCTTTTCACAGAATCTTAGAGTTGAAGGGACCTCTAAAGTCCATCTAGTCCAACCCCTGTCATTCTTCTTTTATGTAGGGAAAGGGCAATCAAAGTACCCCTGCCAGATAGCCATTTAGTCTCAATATTAATGATTGATAAGGCCATCTTCCACCTTCCCCTTCCGGCAAGAGAAGGAGAAAGGAAGGTGTGCGCACAGCAAAATGAGCAGGGAGGGAGGTACATGCCTCCGTTTCTCCTCCACTTGCAGCACGCAGGAGCCACTTTGACCAGGGACCTCTCTGACCAGGGCCCACTTGACCAGGGACCACGTTGACCAGGGCCCACTTTGACCAGGGAACCACTTGACCGGGGACCACTTGAACAAGGCCCACTTTGACTAGGGACCACTTCAACAAGACCCATTTTGACCAGGGCCCACTTTAACTAGGGTCCACTTGAACTAGACCCACTTTGACCAGGACCCACTTGACCAGGACCCACTTTGACTAGGGCCCACTTGATCAGAGAGCACTTGAACAAGACCCACTTTGACCAGGGCCCACTTGAACAAGACCTACCTGGCTAGGGCCCACTTTGACCAGGACCCACTTGGCCAGAGCCTACTTTGACCAGGGACCACTTGAACAAGGTCCATTTTGACTAGGGACCACTTCAACAAGACCCACTTCGGCTAGGGCCCACTCTGACCAGGGACCACTTTGACCAGGGACCACTTGAACAAGGTCCACTTTGACTAGGAACCACTTCAACAAGACCCACTTCGGCTAGGGCCCACTTTGACTAGGGCCCACTTGATCAGAGAGCACTTGAACAAGACCCACTTTGACCAGGGCCCACTTCAACTAGGGCCCACTTCAACTAGGGCCCACTTGAACAAGACCCACTTTGACCAGAGCCTACTTTGACCAGGGACCACTTTGACCAGGGACCACTTGACCAGGGCCAACTTTGCCAAGGGCCCATTTGACCAGGGACCCCTTGAACAAGGTCCACTTTGACTAGGGACTACTTCAACAAGACCCACTTTGACCAGGACCAACTTGACCAGGACCCACTTTGACTAGGGCCCACTTGAACAAGACCCACTTTGGCTAGGGCCCACTTGACCAGGGACCACTTTGACCAGGGGCTGGTTAGCTCTGCAGAAAGGAGCAGAAATGAAATAAAATAAATAGAGGAAGGTTTGTGAGCCGAATTTTCTTCTTGCAGCCCACTGTCGTTGGGCTGCGGCCCACAGGTTGAGAGCCACTACTGTAATGGTATTGATGGATGGGAGGCTCTCTTAGCACCATTTAGCCCAGGAATGGCCCACAGGCTGCATGTGGCCTTTGGGGCCTCTAACCGAAGGGGTGTCCCTTTGTCTTCCCCTAAGGTTGAAAAAATGCAAGCTGATGAAGATTATCCAGATTTATGCCAGCCCTGGTGATGCAATGGGTTAAACCCTTGTGCTGTTGAACTGCTGACCTAAAGGTTAGTGTTTCGAATCTGCGAGATGGGGTGAGCTCCCGTCTGTCAGCTCCAGTTCCTGCTAACCTACAGTTTGAAAACATGCAAATATGAGTACATAGATAGGTACTGCTTTGGCAGGAAAAGGCAAAAAGAAACTCCAAGCAATCTTACTAGCTACACAACCAGGAGGTGACAATGCAGGCTCCTCAGCTTGCAAATGGAGAAAGCACCTCCTCAGAGCCAGAGATGAGCAACGCCTTCAGAAGCCGGAAATGAAAGAAGCCTCTGCCTTTGTGTTTGTGTGTGTCTCATTGTATATCAGTGTTTCTTAACTTTCCTAATGCTGTGACCTCTTAATACAGTTCCTCATGTTGTGGCGACCCCCAACCATAACATGATTTTTGTTGCTACTTCATAACTGTAATTGTGCTACTGTTATGAATCGTAATGTAAATATCTGATGTGAAGGTTGTATTTTCATTGACTGGGTCAAATTTGGCACAAATGCCCAATACATCCAAATTTGAATAGTGGTGGTGTGTTGGGGGATTGATTTTGTCATATAGGAGTGGTAGTTGATGGGATTTATAGTTAACCTACAATCAAAGAGCATTCTGAACTCTATCAATGATGGAATTGAACCAATCTTGGCTCACAGAACTCCCATGACTAACAGGAAATACTGGAAAGGTGTGGTGGACATTGACCTTGAGTATTGGAGTTGTAGTTCACCTACATCCAGAGAGCACTGTGGACTCAAAAAATGATGGATCTGGACCAAACTTGGCACAAATACTTAATATGCCCAAATGTGGACACAGGTGGAGTTTGGGGAAGAGAGACATCAACACTTGTGAGTTGTAGTTACTGGGATGTATAGTTCACCTACAATCAAACAGCATTCTGAACCCAACCAGTGACAGAATTGGGCCAAACTTCCCACACAGAAACCCCATGACCAACAGAAAATACTGTGTTTTCTGATGGTCTTTGGCGACCCCTCTGACGCCCCCTTACAACCCCTCCAGGGTCTCGACCCCCAGGGTGAGAAACACTGACCTACATCCAGAGAGCACTGTGGACTCAAACAATGATGGGTCTGGACCAAACTTGGCATGGATACTCAATATGTCCAAATGTGAACACTGGTGGAGTTTGGGGAAAATAGACATTTGGACATTGTAGTTGTTGGGACTTCTAGTTCACCTACAATCAAAGAGAATTCTGAAACCCACCAAGGATAAAATTGGGCCAAATTTCCCACACAGAACTGACCCCTCTGACACTCCCTTGCAACCCCCCCAGGGGTCCCGACCCCCAGGTTGAGAAGTAGGCCTCAGCATGAGAACGCCTCAGTGTGAGGTAGGCCTCAGTATCAGAAGGCCTGGTGTGAGAACCTTCGGTGAGAGGAAGCCCTAGGTTGAAGGCCATCATGTGTGAAGGCTGCTATGCATAAAAAGCTACTGTGTGAAGTTTCTGTGTCAACTTCAGTTCGAGAGGAGGCTCTGTGAGAGCGAAGCTGTTTATCTGCATGAGAAAGAAGCCCAGCGTGGAAGCAAAGAAGGGAGTATAAAGAACTTTATTTCTGTTATGGAAACATTGTTCTTGTAAATAGTGCAACCATATTATTTTGCTATAAAGAAAAGCCTCCTAAGGAAGAGATAACATTGGTCTGTGTGTTTTTGTTCATGTTATCACTTTGGGCTCCTGGTTCTTGGTCACACTGCTGCTAATAAGTTACTCTGCTGTGCATTTATCATCATCATATTTAATTACTTATTGTGCTGGTACGGCTGTACCAGGAGCTTCAGCTTCATTTTCTTTCTATTGAGTGTTTGCATATATTCCAAGGTTCCATGCATTTTGCAATAAGGTGGCTTCCCTTGGTTTGCAATTATAGGGCCAATGACCTGTCTATCATTGTTAAGTTTTGGTTCTGCCCCTTTTTCCAGGGCTCTGGGAGGGAAAGGGAACCATTTTTAGTTCAATCTTATAGTGGAAAGCTTAGCTACAGGACGTGGACCAGCTCCATCTGTAGACAAGCTTCGTTTCTCACAGCATCCAGGGGAAACAGCTCCACATCTTTCGTGGAAAAGATCCAAAAGAACTCCATCTGGAGAATCTACAAAGCCTTGGCTGGTAGGTCTACTCGGGTAACCAGAAGCAATTGGACCCGGTAGAGCCCACACCAGCAAGCACAGAAAGTAGATTGCCTGGGAGGGGTTAAAAAGGGTTCTCCTCTTAAAAGAAAAGAAACAGTTCACGAAGCCKYTTAKCTGTCCATTTGGGCAAGTTAAGAAGCATTTGTTTGACTTGTTGAAGATCTGAGAAGATCTAAGCAATAATAAAGGACTTTGTTAAACTTTTCAAACATCTAAAGACTTTTGTATAGGAAAA